AGGCGGGCGCTGCGGGGACGGCGGGGACCGCGGGGAGGCCGCGCAGCTCAGCGGGGCCCGGGGCCCACGCACAGTCGCGTCGGGCTGGCGGGTCGTCCTGTGCGCCGTAGCCGGGCGGCGATCTCTGCATTCCAGCTGGGCGCGGCCTGGCGGAACGAAGCGCGGGAGCGCGGAGGGCGGGCGGCGGGCACTTCGGGACCGGGACGGGCGGGTGCACGGCGGCGCGGACACGGTTCGGATGGCGGTGGCCTCGCGCCGGGTGGGCGCCCAGATATAGCGGCGCGGGGCCAATAGGCGGCGGGGCGGGCGGGCCGGGGCGGGCCGGGGCCGCCCCCTCCCCGGGGGCTCCCTTTCTTCTCCGCCTGGCCTCCTCCGCGCAGCGCCCCCCGCACCCTCTCTGAAGGAGAGACCCCCTGAATGTGAAAGGGCCACTGATGTGGGCTGAAGCTTGGAAGGGGGCGTCCTCACGGGGCTGTCAGACTTTCAGAGAGGAGCTGCTGCCCCCACCCACGGAGTCAGCCCCTCGGGCCGTAATTGGGGCGGGTGGCCGAGCTCCCTCCCTGAAATTACAGTGGGAGGAGGGGGCTGTGTTTTAACACCATGTTCTTGGGAGGCTGACTTCCCAACAGCCCCGTAGGTCCTTCCGCATCTGTAGCTCAGAGGTAAGGAGAACCTCAGGAAAAGCACCCTGCATCTTGGGGGAGGGGCATCGTACCCCCCCCCCAACCCTCCACACACGTTGAACTTTCAGCACTGGGGGCCTCCAGCCCTGCCTAAGCCTGCCCATGGGGTTAGAGGAGAAGATGGCCTTCGTGTCCCCTCCCCCACTCCCAAACCAACTCAGAACAGGACGAACCTGGACCAGAAGGTGGAGGAGCGTCTGGAAAGCGCAGAGTCCCAGGGCCTGCTGGGTGGGGGCTTGGGGGCCGGGACCATTCGTAGCTGGCTACCCCGCCCAGCCCAGGCCCCTGGTGCAGCAGGACAGAGTGAGGCTGGACCAGGGCTTGGGGCAGAGGGGCGCACCCCTCCCCTGGGCCTACAGACCTGGGGGGCTTTTCAGATCTTCCAGCCTCCGCCCAGTCCCCACCCCAGCAGGAGGGGACTGGGCTCCAGAAGCCGAGAGTCTGAGGGGCAGTTTCCCCACTCCCCTCCTGCACACCCATTTGTAGCCCAGAAGCTCTGTATCCCCCCCACTTACCGTGCCAGGAGCCCCCACCCTAAGTGTTGGGAGCTTCATGGTGTGTGATCACAGGTGTCAGTGACCCTGGGTCTGTGCTCTCAGTGCTCTGTCCCTTTGGGGGGTGGGTCGTACAGCTTCCCCCAGGGGCCTTCCTGCCCTGGGGAGAGGCCAGCACCCCCACGGGCCCCTGACCTGAGGGCTGTTGGGTTCTGTCATGTAGGGTCTCGCCCACAGGCTGGAAGAGTCAGGGCTGGGTGCCCTACGTCACGGACCCTGGGTTCTCTGGGCCCAGGGGAAGACTGGCTTTTCCTGGGAGGCAGGCAGGAATGGAGGGCACAGGCCACCCAGTGGTACCAGCTCCCCTTGACCAGTGTGAGTGGGTGGACCCAGCAGGTTGGGGCGGGGGAAATGTGGGCAGAAGAGTCCAGGTTGAAGGGTGGGTCCAGGAGGCCAGCACCTGGCAGAGGCAGCCTCTACTGGCAGCCCTTTGGGTGTGGTCTGCGGTCGCCAGGGGCCTGGCTCTGCCTGGCCAGCAGCTGGTCTGGGATGATGGTCACTGGGGCTCAGGAAGGAGGCCTCCAGTGTCCACCCCAGTGACCCACACACACACATTGGGATGGATTTCCAGCTCCCCCAGGGGCCTTACCTGGCCCTCTGCAGCCCCTGACAGGCCAAAATTGTCAAAACTGCTCCAAAAGCAGTGGCAGGCAGCATCCGGCATTACCTCACCACCCCACTGCTGCCGCTCCCCTCCCTCCCCCCCAATAGCCGCCTCTCTTGGAACCAGCCAGTGACCCTCTCTCTTTGTGAAGCTGTCTTTGTCAGGTGTCTGGCTCTCATGTCCTGTGGGCTGGGGCTGGGCAGGGCAGGGGAGAGCCTCCAGGTGCCCCCTACCTCTTTGGGGTCAGCTGCCTGCCCCTGCGTGCTGCCTGGTAGGGTTGTGGAGGGTCGCTCTGGCCCACTGTCCAGACAGGAAAATAATGTGGGTGGGGACTGCAGTGGGGGTGGCCATGACCTAGGAGCTGCAGGGCTGAGGGACTCTTCAGGGCTGTCCTAGGGCTGCTGTGGGTGTGGCCAGCTGTGCTGGAGGAGGGGCATCAGACGTGAGCAAATCTGTGTGTCTGTGGTCTGTGTGTCTGTCTGCCTGGGCATGGGGGTGAGGGGGACTCTGGTGTTAGGGACTGCCCAGGGCCTTGGGAGCCAGACAGGCTGGACTCAGCAGTGAGGAGATGGGGTTCCACAGAACCTATAATGGGAGTCCTACTCAGAGAAGCCCTGGTCCTCAACATCCACCAAGGGAGGTGTCCCTAAGACTTCTCTGGCCCCCAAGCTGTGACCCCAGCTCCATCCAAAGTGTGGGTGATTCATTAGTCTGGGGGCATTCTTATGCTTCCAGAACCCACCGCAGGCTGGCCTGGCCCAGGCTGGCTGTCGCCCACCCTTTGGAGAGCCCCGTCGGTAGTCCACAACTCCCAGACAGAAAGGTGGAGTGGAGGGCAAGCTTTGTCTACAAGTGTGGGGCTGGCCTGGGTGTAGATGGGACACTGCTCTCTCATCCCTCCGCCCACTCCCTCTCTCAGCCTGCACTGGAATCCCAGCCTCTGGGTGAAGCCTGCAAAGGATGCTGGGTAGTCCCCCTCAGTGGCTCTGGGTGGGGGCTTGGCTAGGCTCCGGGGGTGGCAGACCTCCCAGGCGCTGCCCGGGGCACAGACCTCACAGGCTTCTACCCACCCAGCTCAGCTGCTGCAGGAGCAGAGGCTGGGACCAATTACTGAGTCCCTCAGGGCTGGACCCTCCTGCTCCTAGAGGGTGGAGGTGGGGTCCCCACTGGACGTAGGTCCAGGTGGAGGGGACTGTGTTCCCCTGAGACCTCAGTTTTGGAGCCAGGCTGCCCAGTTCAGCTGCCTCCTGGTCCTTGAGACCAGGGCTGCAGGCCTGTCCCTCCTTCTCATGAGGCCGCCCGGGGAGTGGGGTGGGATGGGGGTGGATGAGAGGTGCAGGGCCAGCCTCAATCTATGCCTTGGAGTTGGAGCTTCTGGGAAGCCTGGCAGATGGCCTACATTCACATGGGCACACGTGAGTACGTGTCTCTTGCCCGGTGACAGGTCTGGTTCAGGTGGACACTGGGGCTCATACCTGGGGACAGTGGGCTTGGCCCACCCCACCCTTCCCGCTCTCAGTCCCGGGGTGCTGGGCCCAGTATGCACAGAGCCTCTCTCCTGTAGGCCAGAGTGAGTGGGTTTGGGGTGGTGTGTGATTCGCCAGCCATGTGGGCCTAGAGTCGCAGGCAGAGCTGGGTGCTGTGGGGGTGGGTGTCAGAGTGCTGTGGGTGTTGGGCTGCCTGAGGGCCTGGAGCCTGTGGAGCAGGCGAAGCAGGCGTGTGGGGAGAGTGGGGGCTGTTGCTCGTCAAACAGGGATTGGCTGTGCAGGGCGTCAGGTCTGCCCCTTGGGCCAGCAGGACTGAGTGGGTGGGGGGCTTCACCGGGCCTGGTGCGTGTGGGATCATTGCAAGCATGATCCCACACCCACAGGTGTGAAGAGGTCCATGAGTGACTAAGGTGGCAGACAAGTTTGGACAGCGGGGTTTAGGTCGCATGTGGTAGGAGTGACTTTTGTGGGTGTTCCAAGTGTCGGGGGGTGTTGTGCTGTATGAGCTCTTGGGGGCCTTGTGTGGCTGTGTGTGTCCTGGGGTGTTGCTGCGAGCTGTGTGGGCCCTGCTCCCTGCTCAGCGGGGGCTCCATGGGAACCAGGCTGCTCTAGGTTTCCATGGCAACAGCAGGGCGGAGCCAGGAAACACCAGCTCAGGAAGGAAGGCTGCAGCTGCGAGGAGGGAGCCAGCCCAGGGTCCGCCTGGCTGAGCAGGCGCCAGACACTCTGTCTGTCCAGTCGTCCGGCGTTCCTGCCCCTGGCTGTGCCCCATGCCACCCAATCTGGGCATGGGGCAGCTGCTGGTATGGCTGTCTTTCTTCAGATCTCAGTGCCCTGGGCTTGGGCCTGTGGGTGTCTTGTCCTACAGGAGTTGTGCCCTGGTCCCCCTTAGTGGCCCTTAGTGGGCCTTGCATGGGGGGCCATGTGTTGGCACACGTGGGTATCAGGCCCCTGGGAGTGCAGTGCCCACCCTGACCACCCGGCCCTGGGATAGCCTGCCCCTTACTCTTGCCAGGCTCTGGTGATCCTCTGCTGCCCAGCCTTTGGCGGGCACTGCAGTTGTGTTTCTTTTCTGCTGCTGCCCTGGCTTCGGTAACAAGTGGCTCTGATGGGCCAACCAGCTGGAGCTGTCCAATGGGCTCGGGGGGCAGCACTGTGTTTTGGGGGGTCACCGCCCCTCTTGCTTAGGGGCAGTAGGCACCCCTTCATCCCTGCGTGTGTTGCTGAGCACTGGCTTTGCACCAGGGCCTGTCCTAGGAGATGGGGTTTGGCAGCAAACAGATCAGAGCCAAGTCCCTGCCGGTGGGGAATTCAGTCCTGGTGGACAGAGACAATCCAGGAATCTACCAACAAGGCCGAATGTAGGATGCCAGGCTGTGGTACGTGCTATGGGGGGCGGTGCTGCCCAGTACCATACGGAGAGAGGGGCTCTGTCGGGGTGCTCAGCGACTGTCCTTTCATGAGGTGACTTTTGAGCCAGTCCTTAAAGCCTTGAAGGAAACATGTGAAAGACATGAGGGGAGAGATGGGGGAGATGTTTTACACAGAGGGACCAGCATGTGCAAATACCAGGGTCAGGCAAGCGTGTGTGGCATGAGCAGGGAGTGCAGAGGGCAGGGGCAAGGGGCTGCGTGGGGCCTGGGAGGGTCTTGCTGTTTTCTCTGGAGGAGACTTGGCGACTTGGGAGGGTTTTGAGCAGAGGACGGGTGTGATCTGCCAGCTCCCCCCAGCCTCAGCAAAGAGCTGTGGAGATGGGCCTGCCCAGGCCAAGAAGGAGGACTCAGCACAGGTGAGAAGGGCAGGCGGTCTGCTCCAGGCCCCTCCCAGCCCCCATCGGCCTCTCCCAGGAGTCCCCTTGGTCTTCCTCCGGGAGCGCGGGCTGGGTGCCTGGACTCCTGGATTTGTAGCCCTGTAGTCAGGCCTGCTCCTCTCACCCATAGCCCCTGACCCCGCGGCCCTGCTGCCTGGGGCCCCTGGGGAGGGGGAGGAGGAGTGGCCGCCAGGCTGGCGGGCTGGCAGGGCAGGGAGGGCGGCGTTTCTGGGAATTGTGTGGGGGAAGTGCATTGTTAGAGTAGCCCGGAGCAGGCCACTGGCCTCTGGGGGATGCCTTCTGCCTCCCCCCAAGTGCTGCCTCTGGGGGGAGGGACATGGGCTTGGGCCAAGGCTATGGGCTGGACTGGGGACTTTCCGAGTGACACTGCCCTTGGCAGGCTGCTATGCCCATGCTGCAGACTGGGAGACTGAGGCCCAGAGTGAGGGCTGCCACAGTGGCAGAGCCAAGATACCCAGTGGTGCACTGGACCTGAGCCCCTGGTCACCACCCTGCCTGACCTCAGAGGCCAGGATGTGGGGAGGCCTAGACAGAGTTGGCTGGGTCACAGTCCTATAGAGCCCCTGTGGTGGGGACCTGAGGCTCCATGGTGGGCAGGAGGGTCTGGTGAGACAGGGAGAAGAAACACCTGAGTGCCGGGCCAGGAGGCTGCAGGATCCCCTGTCCCCTGTGGCCGTGGGAAGTGAGGGGACTCCGTGTGAGTTTGGCAGTACGGGCCTTCCCACCAAGGCCCCTGCCCCGGCCAGAAGGGAAGCACAGACGCAACCCACGGGGGTCATGGCCGGCTTTGTACTGGCGAGGGGGCGGGGGACACAAATAGAAAAATAAATGGCCTGAGTTTCCGATGTTTCCGTGGACTGAAGACAGGGGTCAGGCTGTCCTCTGGGCCAAAGGTGTGGCTGGGCCTGTGTGGAGTGGGCCCCGGGGGTGTCAGGGCTGCATATATGCCCTCAAAGCCCCAGGACAAGGCCTGGCTCCTACAGAGGGCTCCTGAGGGCAGACCCATGTCTCCATTCAGGGGTGGGATGGGGACACTCTGCAGGAGGGCACACAGCCCTTCAGGATGAGCTGGGGGAGGTCCGCCCCTGGGGTGAGGGCCGGCGTGGGGCCTCTGCGGGGTTTCCTTTTGGGGACCGGCATGGGTACTGAACTGAGCAAGGCTCCCTGGTGGTGGGCTGGCAGTGTCCAGGAGGGTGTTCTGGAATAAGGCAGGTGGGTGGGTCTGAGAAGGTTAAGTGCTGCTGTTCCCCACCCCTGGGGGCTCTTTCTGATTCGTTTTCACCTCTGACCTCTAATAATAAGGACCCCCCCCCTCGACCGACACATCCACGTAGCTCACAGCTTCCAAAGCCAGCCTTGACTTGGCAACTTCTGGGGTACACCTGTCCCTCAACTCTGTCCCATCTCAGCAGCGGTGGAGGGCCTGCGGTTCTTAAGGAGTGGGCCCCGCCTGGTTCTAGGGGGTGTCAGGAGAGGTCAGTCTGGGGCTGGCCCTCTCTGGGGGTGGGGGGGCCTGTCTGTGGGGCTCCCCTGCTGAGCAGCGGCCACTAAGTGTGGGTCCTTTCTCATGTGCCCTTGCTGCTTCCTTCTCCCTTCATGTGACATGTACTCACTAAGCACCTACTAGGTGTCTTGGGGCCGGGGGATGCGGCAGGGTGGCACCCAGGCCATGTTCTCAGAGGGTCTGTGTATTTGGTTTGCATGTGCCTGGAAGACCCCCAGGTGTGCCCGGTGTGGCACGTGTGAGCAACTTTCCGTGTGCGTGTGTGACTTGGGGTGAGTGTGAGTGTGCATACTCAAGACTTACCAAAGAGGAAGTAAGGCTCCTCACCTGCTGAGGGGTGGGTGGGGTGTGAAAGGGCCCAGCCCTGGTGGGCACCCTGTGGAAGCCTCAGCCAGGCTCCTGTGACGCCTGCAAGCAGAGCCCCGTGACTCTGACGTCACCCTCTGAGGGCGCAGGAGGGTCTGGGGAAAGCTCCTTGGAGGATGAAGTTCCGAGGTCGGGTAAGGTCCCTGAGGGGCCTGGATAAGAAGGGACCGTCCTGAGCAAGGTTCTGGAGGTCATGAAGTCATAAGGGGCCCCAGGACCAGGTACTTCTAAGGTGGGGAGTTGGGAGTTTGGGGTTGGCCACTGCCATGCCAGCTTGAGCTCTGGCGAGGGTGGGACCCACTTACAGCCTCCACAAGTGAGGGTCTGTCTGCAGGGCTAACCACAGGCCCATTCCAGCTGCTTCACCGAGGTGGCCAGAGCTTGCTGGACCTCCCTAGGGAGAGTGGTGGCTACCCGGCCAATAGGCCAGCCTATGGCTCACTCCCGCCACCTAGAGGCCAGTGCTCCTGGTGGGTCACAGTGGCCTGGGAGCAGGGTCACCTAACTGTGGCCTCCCCCTTCCCCCTGTGGCGGCGGCTTTCGTGTAGGACTGCACCATATCAGGAGAAGGGCTGTGGCCCTCACATCCCCAGCTTGGAAGTGACCTACCTCCGCTGCCACCCACTCCTGTTCCGTCCCCTCCCTCCTCCCCATTGCCTGCCCTGCCCTGCCCTGGGCCAGGCTCCCCGGAAGCCCCACTTCAGCCCCACAAGCTGAGCGGTCTGTTGGGCACTCCTCCTGCAGGGGTCCCCATCTCCTGCCATCGTCCTCGAGGGGCCATAGCTCCTTGGTCTCCTTCCATCCGCAGCCTCAGCTGAGACTTGCGAGGTGCCTTACAAGCTGTCTCTGTGGCCCTCCCTAGAGGCTCCGGAGGTAGAGACCACCTGGCTTCTCACGGAGGAGAAAGGGCCCAAGGTGGGCCGGGAGCCTGGCCTCTCCACCGAGGCTGGCGGCTCCCTCCTCCGTGTCCTTGCTGGCGCCACCTGATGATGGGGCGGTGCCCAAAGTGAAATTCATAGGGTCGCAAAAGACACCAATGGCACCGAAACAGTTATCAACGTGTTTTCTAAAATGTGTGATGCAGAAAACTGAGCTCCTCACTGCAGTGAGCTCATTTGTGCCATGGTCAGTCCCCGCCCTGCTGAGGTGTGCTTCACTGGGTAACCTAAGAAACAACTCTTTCGCTCGAGATCACTGGGATTCATTCCCACCGATTCTTTTCTGACAGGGTTGGTCCCTGACCCCCAGGTTGAGATCTATCCTGGTCTCCTTCCCACCCCACCCGGCCCAGCTCCTCAGCTCCAAGACCTGCCCTGTCTCCATCTCCCCCACTCCATGGCGCCTCTTCTGTGACCCCCCTCTGCCCCCTTGGGAGAATAAGGCCTTAGGGGCTAGGGTACAAACTCCAGACCACTATCCACCTCCCCATCCTGGGACACCCTCTGTACCCTTGGAACGCAGTCCCCCAGCCCCCTGAGCCTCTACCCTCTCTGGGTTCACCTGAGCTAGCCGGGACCTGTACCCCTGCCACCTGTAGACAGAGGACAAAGACCCCAGAGCTCCACCCGGGGTACAAAATACAGGGGTCTTCACTCGTAACCAGCTCCCTAGTGGTGCTTGAGTCACCACTAGCACATCTTTGTAGCCTAAAACATTCAACCCAGCCAAACACTTTATGCCAAGCCCCTTGCATGGGAGGGTGGGAGACCTCCCCTCACCAGGCTGCCTAGGCAGGGTCAGGGTGAGACCTCAGGCTGGTTTTCTGGGGTGTCTGCATGCCCGCTCCCTTCCCCAGCACCTAATGGTTATCCATCCATGGAGATAACAGGGGCATTGGCCTTGAGCCTGGCTTCTTGTTCTGGGGGCTGGGCTGATGGCCCAGGCCCTGCCCAGTGGACGCCTGGGCCAGAGTTGGGCGTCTGGAGCAAACCCTTTCTGAAAGCCCACGTGATGCCTCTGAAAGGCATGTCCTGTTCATCTCCCTTTGACTGTACTCTTAGGCCCTAAAGCTGTTTTGAGGTCTCTTGGACACGCACCTCCCTGCTCCAGAGGGTAGAGGCTGCGGGCTCTGCTCCACGCCCACCTTGTGGGTTGGCACTCCCTCCCCTCTTCTAGCCTTTGCTGAAGCCACGGCTGAGCTCGGTGTCTCAGGGTCCTTCTGTCCAGTGTCCCTGGTGTAGCTGGACCTCAGAGGCTCCACACACGCTCCTACCAGGAGATTTTGGCTACGAGGACTTGCCTGGTTGGGCTGGGCTCAGAGCTCTGACCGACTCAGTGAGGGGCAGAAGCAGAGCCGGTCCGTAAACTGGAGGTGCTGTGTTCACCTGTCACAGGGCCTCCGTTCTGGAAAACCTTTGCTCCCTGTGAGGAATTCCGCGCTTTTTACTTATAATTACTAAGGAATCTCATAACCTACCATGTTCCCCTTTTCAGTTTGGCTGCTAGAAGCTCAGTTGTATCTAGTTAATGCCACTGAGAGACCAAGGCATGGTCAGCCCACACTGAGAGACCAAGGCATGGTCAGCCCACGCCATCTGGACATCCCGGCTGCCACCTGGCCTGTTACTTGGCTTGAATTTCAGTGGCCGTGGGGCCCACAACACTGTAGGTTAAGCACCAGTCCCCTGGCCTCTACCTTCCCCCGGAATTGGGCCCCTTCCAGCAGACCACCAGCCTCTGCATCACGGAGGAGGGGGTGTCCCTGCCCTCCTCCCCAACCCTGCCGCCAGGCCATCCCTTCCGCTGAGTGCAATGGGGCCCTTCCCAAGGACCTCCAGCCGCGAATCGCTCCCGCTGTCTCTTGCCCTGAATAAGGTCACAGCAGCCCTGTGAGGTAGACGCCATCAACATCCCCATTTCACAGGCAGGGAGACGGAGGCACGGAATGGTGGATGATTTGTTTGAAGCGACAGCCCGGGATTCACAGCCGGTAGCTGACTCCGGAGCAGGGGCGTTGCCCACGCAGCCCCTCCAAGCGCCCAGGCACCTTCCTACCCCAGCCCTCGCTTCTTTCACACTCCGCACCCGGCTCCGGCTCCCTCCCACCTCCAGACTCCCCAGTCGAGGCCTCAGAGGCCAGAGCGTGGGCCAGTCCCGCAGGACTTGGCTCTAGGACACGAGAGTCACGGTCCAGCTGCCGCGGACAGCGGGAGGTGGTAGAGGAGGGCTCCAAGGGGACGGAGGAGGGGCAATGCCTTCGCCCGCCCCGCGCAGTCGGGCCCCCGGCGGCCCCGGGGCGGAGGGTCACGAGGGAGGTCCTAGCCCCACGCGCCCCCGCAGCGCCCCCGACCGGCTCGCCGGCTGCGCGAGGGCTTGCGGGGCTGCGAGTCGTCCGGCCGCGTAGGCCTCCCGCGACCGCCCGCGTCGGGACTTCCATTCCCAAGAAGCCGTGCGCCCCCGCAAGCTCCTGGGAGGTGTGGTCCAGGGCGGGGAGCGCGCGCGCCAGGCGGGCGCGCGGGAACTACATGTCCCAGGATGCAGCGCGGCGGGCGCGGGGCCGGGGGTTTGAACGGAGGGTCTCCCGCCCGCTGCAGGGCTGCGTCGGCTGCGGCGGGTGCGGGCGGCGGCGACGGCCTGGGCCCGCGTCTGGGCCGGGAGGCTGAGCTGGCGCGGCGGGCGCTGGGGGCGCTGCCCCTGAGGCAGTGATGGGCAAGGAGGAGGAGATTGCGCGGATCGCCCGGAGGCTGGACAAGATGGTGACCAAGAAGAGCGCGGTGAGGGGCGCGGGCCGCCAGGACCCCGGGACCCCCGCCCCGCCGAGCCCCCACCGAGCCTGCCGAGCCCCCGTCAGGGCCGGGGAGGCCACCCGGGGTGCAGAACGAGACCCCCGCCCCGGCAGAGACTCCCGGGACGCGGGGAGACCCCGCTGGTGGCAGAGAACCCTGCCCCGGGCCAGCCCTGGCCTTCATCCCCGCACCTACGGCAGAGGCCGCGACCCGGCCTGGACCTTGTCCCGGCAACTTGTCTCTGGACTCAGACCCCGACTGCCAGGCTGATACCCCGCGGACCTGGGATCCGCCCCCTTCCCTGTCCCCTAACTTCAAACCCCTCCGGGGGCCGGGCCAGCGGAGACCTTCCTCGGCCCCGCCCCTCCAGGCCTTGCGACGCCCCAGCCCGTTCAGCCCTTTCTTGCTGGCCCGCTCGCCCCGGTGCCTCCCTGCTTCCCTTGCTGGGCACCCTCCGGGCATCGCCCCATCACCTCCCCGCCCCGGGTCTCCCGCACCCGTGCTCTGCCTGCGAGAGTTCGGGGTGTGAGATGGGCCCGCTTTTCCCCTGGAGCCTCAGCCTCCCCTGCCGCTGCCGGGCCTGGGCCGCGTCATCCCCGTCACAAGCAGGCAGAGGCCTTTACAGGTCGTCAGGCCCTTTTCCTTCTCTGTCGCAGCCCATAAGAACCGGGTTTCTTAATAAATCATCTCCCTTCTTTAGCCAGGACTCAGCTAGCAGCAACTGGGGAGCGGGTAGCTAGGCAGGGACCCTGGGGAAAGACCCCTAGGCAGTCGGGCGAGACCCCGGCGGGCTGTGCCTGCTGTGCCGCAAGCGAGCCTCTGGAGGTCGCTGTGCCCCGGTCTCTGAGGGGCCAGCCAGATGGGGCTCCAGTTCCAGTCCCCCTCCGCTCCCAGACCTTGGCAACTGCGCACACTCAAATGGAAGCATCCTTGGTGGGTGGTACCTGCTTCTAGCGGGTGTGTGTGTGTGTGGGGGTTCCTGGATGGCTCCCTGGGAGGCTCAATAAACACCCACCCCCAACGCTCTCCCTTCAGACTGTGCTGTTGGGGCAGACGGAGCCGAGGCCCCAGGGGTGGGTCCAGGGGGCTCAGTCATGGGCTTTGGAGGCGTCCACAGCCACCCCAGGGCTGTGTGCTTGTACTGCTGGTTTGGGGGTAACTTTTTGAGTTGAGCCTGGGTCCCTCTTAATCCTGGTTCTGGACAGGGGTCCATACCAGATCTCAGCCAGCGGCTGGCTCCCACTCATTTATAGGGCAAGCAACCCCCCATTGTGGTCATACCCTGGGAGGCCCTGAGCAGCACCTAGCAGAAGTGTAGAAACAGTTTAGCCTTTTCTAGAGTTGATCAGGGAAAGAAGCTACTCCCCACACCCCTACGTGAACGGAACAAAACAAATGACCCCTCCCCTGTGGGGTCATGGAGGACGGGGTGGGCCAGCAGAACGGTGTGTGTGGGCAAGCACAGCATGAAGCTCCAGGAGAGGAGGGGAGTAGCTGTGGCTGGCAAACTTTTGGGCTGGGGAGGTGGTTCCGGTGCCCGTGAGTCCCCTGGGGGTATCAGGACTTGTGTTTAGGCCTCTCTGGTCCAGAGCCCTGGAAAGCTGGCATGACAAGCCTGAGGCTCCTCGGCAAAGGTGATCAGTGAGCAGCACTGTGCCCTTGGTGTGGCGACCATCTGTCTCCTCTGAGGAGGTCACCCCAAGGCTGGACTCCACAGCCCCAGGGGCAGGGCCTGCTCGGGGCTGTAGGCTGAGCAGAGATGCCACCCACCCAGATTGGTGTTGGGGTATGTGGGTTGCAGGCCAAGGCTTCCCGTGAACCTGGGCTGCAGGACATAAGGCTACCCCAACCTTGGGTGGCGGGGTTGGTCATGTCTGCCCCTTCCTGTCATGGGGAGACACACACGCATGAAAATACATCAGTGCATTAAAAAGTGAGGCATCTGTGGAGGAAAGCAAAGCGGGGGTAGCTTGGGGGTGTTGCAATTTTTAGCAGGTGGGAGAGGAGTTGCTCAGAAGGTCTCGTTTGAACAAAGCTCTGGAGGGAGGGAGGGAGGGCACAGTATTTGCCATCCTGGGAGATGTGTCCTTGGCAGTGGGAGCAGCAGGTGCAAAGGTCCTGGGGCAAGCGGCTTGGCACACTTGAGCACTGAGGAGCTGTGCCTGGAATGGAGAGATGCAGCCCATTTGTGCATGGCCTCGTGTGAGGGCTCTGAGGAAACAGATGGGTGGGGGTGAGGCAGAGAAGGGAGACCAGGGGTCTGTGGCAATAGTCCAGGTGGGGGGGTGGTCTCCTGGAGATACTGATGGGTGGGGACTTGTAGATGTTGGACGTGGATGTGGTGTCAGTGGAGGTGCCCTGAGGGTTTGCCCTCAGCTGGGGTCACTGTTCCTGGGTCGGCCCCTCTCGGCCAGTGGGTGAGCCACTTTGGGAAGAGGTTGCCCGACCCACCTGGGCAAGGGACAGGGGACTGGACACCTTCACCTGGCTGTGGCCCTCAAAGGCATTCTCCCATCATCTTAGTTTGGGGTGAGAAGTCACGCGACCTGTGATGCAGGCCTTGAGTGCATAGCCGCTTCCCTTCTCATTCCCGCCCACCCTGAGCACCTGACCCCAGGTGGATCTCCAGATTGTCACTGCCTTGTGATAGCAAGTCATTTATGAAGATACTCCTTCTCCTAGGAGGGAGCCATGGACCTGCTGCGGGAGCTCAAGGCCATGCCCGTCACACTGCACCTGCTGCAGGTAGGGCCCTCGTGTCCCCTGTCCGGACAGGCCTGGGCACTTCACGGGGCTTCCTGGCCCCTACCCTACCCTGCCCTTCCCTTGGTTAGCACAGATGCCTGCCCTGAGGGTACTGTCCCTGCCTTTTTCGGTTGCTGGAGATGAGGAGGGGCATCCGAGGGTAACCACCCTGTCCCTCACAGAGGCTCCTGGGTCCCAAATGGAGCAGTAGCCTGGGACGGCGCATTCGCCTCCCCAGCTGGTCCCGGGTGCCCGCCCTGGGGGAGGTCTGACCGCCGCCCCAGCCCAGACCGATTGCCTTGCAGTCCACCCGTGTCGGCATGTCCGTCAACGCCCTGCGGAAGCAGAGCTCTGACGAGGAGGTCATCACACTGGCCAAGTCACTCATCAAGTCCTGGAAGAAGCTTCTGGGTGCGTGTCGGGCAGCTCGGGCTGAGTGCAGGGGCGAGGGGCACCCCAAGAAGCACTGGCCCCTCGCTGGTCAGCACTGTAGGATCACCTGGGAATGGGGCATGGCAGACCTCGTTTGGGAAGCTGGGGCTGAGGGCTTCTCTGTAGAGCCAGGAGAGAGGAGAGTTGAGAGTGGGGGCAGGACTGGGAGAGTTGCACAGGGGAGAGGTGTCTGGGCAGCAAGAGGGCAGGGAGCAGCTGCTGACCAAGGAGAAGGTGAGGGGATGAGGAAGAGGCGGGCGAGTAGGGCGGGTGAGGAAAAGAAGGGAGACAGCACTTGGGGGAGGAGGAGGGAAGGCAGTACCGCTTAGAGGGAACAGGGCAGCCTCTTCCTGGGGACAGCGGGGTGACGGGGTTGCAGAGATGCCATCTCTGGACCCTGAGGCCCCCCGCCCCAGCCTCTCCTGGGCTCTGTCCAAACCCTTGCAAAATGCAGATGTGTGTCCTGGGCCTCCCTTCATTCCTGGGTGGCTATAGGCCACGTGTTGGACAAGTGTGTTTGCTCTGGTGGCGTGTGGGAAGGTCCCCAGTGCAGGCTGGGGTTTCAGGAGCCTTGAGGGAGACATGCTTAGCGGGCAGGCTCATTGTGCTGCCTGAGGTCCAGCTGGGGAATGGCCATGTCCTGGCTGCCTGGGGTGACCTGCCTTTGTCCAAGTTCAGATGCTTTAGCTGTGGAGGCTGTCACTGTGGGGGCTGCGTACTTCGGGAGTATCCTGGGTGGGTGTCAGCTCCCTCTGCCAGGATGGGCAGCCTGCTTGAGGGGGGGTGTGTGTCAGGACCTTTTGAGGCTGGGGGGTGAGGGCTCCAGTCATTAGTGGGAAGGCTCAGCGGGCAGGGCCTTGTGGGAGCAGGTTTCGTGGCTGGCGGGCTGCTGAAGCTGTCCTTGGTGGTGACCTGCTCCTGCCTCCTGGCCCTGCCCTCTGGGTCTGCCTTCCCCTAGCAAGCCCCCCCCCCTTTCTGGGCACCTGCAGATGCTTCAGATGCTAAAGCCAGGGAACGGCGGAGGAGCGAGCCCCTGCCCACGTCATCCTCCAAGGAGGCCTCCGAGGCCAAGGATCCCAGGTAGCGCACCTGGGAGGCAGGTGTACACCTCCAGCCACCAAGCCTCACTTGCCAGGCCTGAGGGTTCTGGTCTCTGTGCACCTGGGACGGGCTAAGGCCTTCTGGCTCCTCGGAAGGGCCTCTGCCCAGGGAGCCAGGCCTGGCCTGGTCGGCCTCTTGCTGGATGCTTCCCTTCCAGAACTCTCTGGAGAGTGTCTTTTCAGCCCCCGCCATTGGAGAGGCAAGGCTGTGTCCTGGCCGCCAGGAGCTGCTGCCTCACACCCCGAGTGGGCCTGTGGAAACCCCTGCCCTCGTCCCCTGCCCCAGGCCCCTGTCCTTGGTCGGGCTCTCCATGGCCAGCTCACATTGCACCTCACTTCCTGCCGGACCCCCTCCTTGTGGGTGTTGAGGCTTCGGTGGGGAGTGGCCGAGGCTGCTTTGCCTTTGACCCCCTGGGCAGCAGTGGCTGACCTCTGGACTCACCAGGGGCTCATCTGCCACCTGCCCCAGTTGCTTTTCCTCCAGGAATCTGCTTCCACTGACTTCGTGGGGGTGACAGGGTCATAAGGTGCAGGGCACGAGGGGAGGGCTGGTGGGTGCAGCCTGGACATCAGGAAGCTGGGGGTGGGGGATGCCCGGCCCTGTGAGGGCATTCGTGCTAGGTGGGGGGATCCCAGCCCCGTCTGCCTCTCCCTGACCTGGCAGCTAGTATTGGGTGGTGTGGCCCTGTGTTCTGGGCCTCCTTGATGGTGGGGACCCTCATGGGCGATGCTGTCCTCATTGTGCCTCCATCTGGGGAGCGCACCCCCCCAGCGGGCCTCACCACCTCTGGCCAGCTGGGCAGACCCCACGAGCGTGCTGGGCTGGACAGCAGAGGGGCGGTGTCATGGCCGCTGTCTAGGTGGAGCAGATGGGGTTTAGGGGAGATTGGCTGTGACGTTGGCTTTCCTGGGGATTGGCATCTCACAGGCCTGACGGGGCCTGTCTCACCAGCCGCAAGAGGCCAGAGCTGCCAAGGACACTGTCGACCCCAAGGATGACCACGTTCCCTCCAGTGCCGGTCACCTGTGACGCTGTGCGTGACAAGTGCCGTGAGATGCTGACCGCCGCCCTGCGGACGGACCGTGAGTGCCCAAGAGGGCCACCCACCCGCAGAGGCCCAAGTCCAGAGGGTCCTTGGGGATGGCCCTCTCCCCAGCCCACTGCTGCTGACCCCAGGTGGGCTCGGGGGTCTTTGGGGACACAGGGTACGAGGATCCTGGGCTCTGCTGCTGGGTGCTGGACAGGCTGAGAGGTAGTGGGTGGGGCCAGTGGGGGGCTGGCTAGTCAGGCCTGCTTCTTGTAGGTGACCACGTGGCCATCGGTGCAGACTGCGAGCACCTGTCCGCCCAGATTGAGGAATATATCCTTTGTGCAGGGGCTTGGGGCTGGGGTTTCTGGGGCGGGGGGAGTCTCGGGCCAGCCAGGCCTAGGTCCCCCTGATGGCCACTGCCCTGGGCCAGGCGGTGGCGTGGGCTCACCCCTCCTGACCAGTTGGGACCCTCTCCCGATCTGCTGAGGGGCTGATCCTGCCTGCTGGTGGGGCCCCGGTCCCTGGTACCTTGCGCCTGCAGTTGGGTCTCAGCCAGGAGTGGGTCCAGTGGGAGCCCCGCCCAGCAGCCCCTCAGTTCGCCGGCAGGCCTGGGTGGGCAGACTGACCCCCATGTGGCTGGGCCCCTCCTCAGCCCAGCCCCCACCCCACACAGCCCCCAGAGGGAGGCTCTCGCTGGCCTGGCGGGGCGGGTGGAGGTGACGGCCTCTGATGGGTCCTTAACCGCCTACAACGCATCTTCCGGGATGTGGGGAACACGGACATGAAGTACAAGAACCGCGTGCGCAGCCGTATCTCTAACCTCAAGGATGCCAAGAACCCCGACCTGCGGCGGAACGTGCTGTGCGGCGCCATAACGCCCCAGCAGATCGCCGTGATGACGTCGGAGGTGAGCCCCGTGGGAGGGGCGGGGCTGCCCTGCAGGGCTGCGGGCTAATCACAGCCCCTCGCTGCAGGAGATGGCCAGCGACGAGCTGAAGGAGATCCGCAAGGCCATGACCAAGGAGGCCATCCGTGAGCACCAGATGGCCCGCACGGGTGGCACACAGACAGATCTGTTCACCTGTGGGAAGTGCAGGAAGAAGAACTGCACCTACACGCAGGTGTGCGGTGGGCCAGCCATCCTCTCAGGGCCCCCGTGCCTCAGGGCGACACACGGGCCGCACACTTGCCCCCAGCTCTGCAGGCTAGAGTCCTTTCCCTTCCGCTGGGACACATGCAGTGCACGCGGTGCCAGGGCTGGTGCCCAAGCCAGGGAATGATGGGTCACTTGGGACCTCTCCCCTTGCCTAGGACTCCTGGTACCCCAGCAAGCATTGTGCTGTGGGTCCCGCTTGCGGTGGGGCACTACAGTTGGGGGACCTGGCCTGGCCCTGTGTGGAGGGCCCCCAAGGAGTGTTGCTTCTGGCAGGAGGGTGGGTGCGGTGTGCTGTCTGGCGGTGGCAGCAGTAGTCAGACCCATGGAGGTAGACGCTCATGTGGACCCCAAGGCATGTCAGGGGGACCTGATAAGAGAAGGGTCGGCGGCTGGAAGGTTGGGGTCACTGGTGCAGCCCCAGTGCAGGTCGCACACAGGGTCCCTGGGGCCTCCCCAGGCTGCGCCCCTCACCGCACCTCCCACAGGTGCAGACGCGCAGCTCTGATGAGCCCATGACCACTTTTGTTGTCTGCAACGAGTGTGGAAACCGCTGGAAGGTACGTGGGTACGCCCAGGCCACCCAGCCTGTTCTCTGGAGGTGGGTGTCTGCAGCCTGTGTGGGGTCTCTGTGGTGTGAAGTGGGGGACAACCCCACCCAGCCAACCTCCTGGGAGCTTTGGAGATGGTGCTGGAGACGCCACCCCTGCCTCTTGCCCTGCGGGGGTCATGGAGGCCGCGTGGCTGGACCCTCTCATGCCCTTCCTTGCAGTTCTGCTGAGCCCTTGTGTAGCGTGGGCCGTGGTCAGCACTAGCCATCGCCCTCCTCGCGTCCTCTGGACAGACACAGCTTCTCGAGACCCGCCCTGTGCCCTCCACACCTCCCCCAGAGGGCAGCATGCCCTGCAACCCCCCCTCAACCCCCTGGTCTGTACTGCACCTTTCTCCCTTTTCCCCAAATTATTAAACGGTTTTTTTTTTTTTTGGTCACCGTGCTATCCTTCACCTTTGGTCCTGGGGGCCATACACAGGCTTGGGCTTTGAGCTGGGTACCCTACCACCACTGGGGACAAGCCTCCGTGGAGTCAGGCGACACCTGCAGTGCTGGAGGGAGGGGTCCCCTGGCCCTGCCTGTGCCCATGAATGAGGGGCAGGTGCTGGGTGTGCACAGCATGTGCTTGATGCCCATGGGCATGGGACCAGGTGGGAAGGACTTTGGCACAGGGACCCCAGGGTCTCCCTCCCCAGGCATTGCTGCTCAGGGCCCAGGGCTGACTCTGGATTCCCCAGCCCTTCCTGAGGGCTGGTCCTCACTGCACCCCCAGGCAGCATGGATGGGGTGGCAAGCACGTCTCGTAGGGCCCGAGGGACAGTGGACCTTCAGGGAGGTCACCCCCATCAGTGTCCGGCCCCAGCCAGCCAGCCTCTGGGGACGACCTTTGATGTATGCCAGGGGCCTCTGCCCACCCATGGCCTGGGCAGTGTTCCTCAATGCATCGCCAGTCTTGGTGAGGTGCCGTGGGGGCCACACCTGCCCAGGTCATGGTACCATCGCTGGTGCAGGGCCCTCGCTGAGAGGTGGGGTGGGGCAGAGCACACGGGGCCAGGTCCCCCCACAGCCAGGCTTCTCCCCTGCTCTGGGTCTAAGTCAATTCCTGATCCTTTAATCTCCCCAAAGGTGGAAAGAGAGGAGACTTTTGCTTTAAAAATATCTTCAATAATAAGACATCCTATTTTGGGAGGAGGGATGGAGATAAATATGAAAACATTTTTTCTTTTTTTGATAAAACACAGTGAGGACATGTTTCCAGGCTTAAAGTTAATGAACATAAAAGAAAAACTGGGTCCTATCGCCTGAGCCTTGTTCTGAGGTTCTGGGTCTGACTCCGTGCAGACGGCTCTTGTTGGAGGGTCTCTCCATGACACAGAAGTAGGCAGCATGGAGGTTCTATTCTCCACCAAAGGTGTTCTCGAGGCCCCCCGGCTGCCTGGGGAGGGGCCCTAGCGAGGACAGCGGGTCCAAGATGCCTCCTGGGACGGTCCTTCCTCTCACCAGGCAGGAGCCCCAGCAGGAGGGGCAGCTGGCCCCCAGACTCACACCTGCCTCTTAGTTGGACCTCAGGCCACCAGGCCCCTCGAGTGGATGGGGGCTTTTGGCCTGCCCTGCACCTGGAACTCCCGCCTGGGACCGCCCCGAGAGTACTGGGCCTGGTGTGCCTGCCACCTGCTGCCACCCACCGGTGAGGGTGACCCGACTGTGTGCTGGGCAGCAGGCAGCCTAGGCCTCGTGGGAGGACTGGGGGGCTCCCCGGAGCAGCAGCGCACGGTAGGTAGGGGAGCCAAGGAAGCGGGGGTAGGAGTCCCGGTGCATGAGCGTGTAGATCTGCAGCTGCGCGTCGTCGAACGTGTGCGCCGACGGCTCCTGCATCTTCCTGTTGATGCCCTCCCGGACGCGGGAGTCCAGGCTCACCTGCGGGACAGGCCACGGTCAGGGCCCGGAGGCACCCCCCACCCGCACGTACCCACCACGGCGCACCTCCTTGGGGGACAGGATGGACACGTAGTCCTCGTAGATGAGCCGCGCCTTCTCGTCCACCGCGTGCTGGTTGGCCTCGGCCTTGAGCTCCTCGCAGGCCAGCCAGAAGAGCATGTTCTCCTCGCTGTACTCCGTACGCAGGAACTCCCGGAAGGCCCCGCGGCCCGCTGGGCTGCGCATCAGCTTGTCGAAGGACTGCGCCCAGCTCTGCACCTCCTCGGGGCTCGGCGTGCTGCTGGGGGCACCCACCGCCAGGTCAGGCACCAGCCGTCCACCCAGACCCTCACCCGAGGGGCGGGCACGGGACATGGCCCAACTCACCACGCCTCACAGCTGGGGAGGGGCTGCAGCTTGCTGTCCTGGGAGGCCCGCCATGCCCGCCGCCGCTCTTCATTCCTGATGGCACACAGGTGGCACCGCCCTCCTCCTCACACACACAGCACGCGTGTGGACACGAGGCGCGGGGCTCTCGGCACTGTGTAAACCCACTGCGGGTGTCCGCCCGGGGCCTGCTCCTTCCACCCGCCCGTCAGACCCCCCGACCCCGAACCGCTACAGTCTTCTTGCCTTTGGGACTTTCATCAGCTCCTGGTGCATGCCCCACCCCCACCCCCACCCCACCTGACCCCGCCACCTTCTCCCACAGGCCTCACTGGTAGAGTAGGAAAGCCCCCGCCCACCAGTCTGGCCCGTGTCTGGCCCCCGACTCTCCCTAGGCGACCGGCTTCACTGCTCTGGCTCTAAAACCCATGCCTGCAAACCTCTCTCCAGGTGTCCAGACAGAACCCAGCCCCACCCTCCTCACCTGCAGGAGCTCCAAGCTCTCAGTGAGTCCTAACTGTTCGCCTCACACCCCAAGCCACCCCTCCCATCTCAGGTCTGGCCTCATGCCTGCCTGCTCACTGGTCAGCTGATCGCCCTCTGGTTCCCACAGCGCGTTCCACTCAACAGCCAAGACCCAAAGCCCGGATGGGGCCAGGCCTCTGCAAGGCACCAAGGGCCAGCAGCTTCCCTAGAAAACCTGGTACCACCGGGAGCCCCACGCCCGCCCCAGCTCACTGCTCTGCAAGCTTGTCCCGGTGGCCCTGGGGCTACCCTCTGCTCAGCGCCCCTCCACCTGACATAGTTTGGAGGATCTGCTTTTCGTCTTATTGCGCTGTAGGGTCCTCAGGGCCAGTGGGAACCAGCTGGCTCACAGCGGCATCAGTAAGCATGCGCTGAGCAAAGCGACGAGGGGCCGCACACATACAGGGGCCTGGGCACTGGCCACTGATCACCACAGCCCTACAGCCCCTGGTGAGTGCTGTGGGTGGTAGGGGCATCCTGCCGGTAGGCAATGCCTCAGTAGCCACCCGAGGACCTGGGAAACAGGGTCCTGGGCCCAGGTCTGCTCCACTCACTCACCCCACCCAGGACACTGCGCCCCCAGCCTCCACGTACCAGCAGCTACAACAGCAACACCAGCACAGGCAGCAGGGGTTGCGGCTGGGGGCAGCTGGCGGGGCCGCATCATGACTGGACATCGAGGGGTGCTGGTCCGCCTCCTCTGGCCCTGTGTGCTGTGGGGAAATGGGGGCCGTCTCAGCCACCGTGCCAGAGCTGCAGGCCCACCCACTGCCCGCTGGGGGCCATGCTCCCAAGGGCAGGACCTTTCCAGCCTCCCAGGTGTCCAAGGGCCTCCTCTTTTCCCCAGGTCCCCAGGGGCAGAGGCAGGGGTGTGGGGAGGTGCACCTGTTTCTCAACCTCATGCGTGGTGGGCATGGGTGGGTGCAGATCCCCTGGGCTCCGTGGTGCCGGCTCCAGAACCCTCCCCACAGCCTGGGGGTCTGAGAAGAAAGGCAGAAGTTTTCAGAGAACCTGAGACCCCAGCCCCTACATGCCCCTGGGAGGGGTCCCGGGAGTCTCACCCTCCTCCCGCGGCCCTGCAGGGCTGCTCCCTGCGCCTACCCCAGCTTCCACCAGGGCTGCTGAGGGGTGCAGGGTCACTGGGGAGACGAGCCCGAAAGGACCTCCACAGGAGGCTCCGGGACAACCCCCTCTGCTGGGTCCCTGGGAAGCCGGAAGCCTGGGTTCCTCTTTCTTGGTTTCCGGCTCCTGGCCCCTCCCAAGGGGGCTTGGGGCCCCAAGATTCTGGGGCTATCAGGTTGGTGCATAGGGATGGTAGTCAGACATTCTGAGCGCCACCCCTGCCCCCTCCATCCTGTGGGTGTGTGGGGAGGTGGGTAGGGTTGCTTCCTACCAGGAGTCCAGATCTGCCTGGGGGCCCCAGATAGGCCTGAAGCATGGAGGACTTGAGTGGGACAAGGGGCAGGACTTCCTGAGGGTGTAGGAAGTGGGGCAGAACACGGGTGAGGAGGGCCATGAGCCTCCCGGAGACCTCGGTCCTAGACGCTATCCCTGGTGCCCCCTTCCCCCTGTTGTCAACTAACGCCCGCGGTCTCCCTTCCCCCTTCCCCCACCAGGCTGCGGAAACCGCTGAGGCCTCACCACAGGGCGGGTGTGCCACGCCAGCCTGTCGGGGGGGAGCGGGGGCGGTAGTGGGCGGGGGAGTCTTGCTCCCGGTCGGAGCTGCGGGGACCCTGGGGGAGACAAGGGGTGGGTCCTGCTCAGCGTCTGCGCCGCACCTTCTGCGCTGGAGGCGCGAGGGGGCGCTGAAGGCACGAGCCGGGTGAGCAGCCCCCAAGTACCCCCGAGAGGCCGACCTCAGATCCCTGAGTCCGCGGGAGACAGTAGCCAATCAGCGTCCTGGAGGCAGTTTTGAACGCCTCCCCACCACAGCCCCTGTCTGCGCCCACCTAGGCCCAGGTGAGGGCTCACAGGGCCTGGGGAGCCCCCTTGCACTCTGCCACGAGGACTTTCCTCGGCCAGGAGGCTCACGACTTGGTTTCACTTTATTTTTTCATTCCTCAGCTCTCGGCCTTTTAATTCCTGTTTGGCCCATGTTGGTCTCTTGGGGTCTCCGTGGTCAGGAGGGCAGGCAGCTCCTGGAGCAGGGCTCCGTGTGGGAGTGGTGCTCAGAGGTGACAGCGCCGACTTACGCACACTTAGGGCACCCTTGCCTCCAGGGCTTGGGCACACAGAGGCCCCTGCCCTGATCCAAACCTGGGGGCAAGACGAAGGGTCCCCTGGGGCCTTAGTCCCTCACCACCTGCCTGGCTTCCCTTGAGATCATGGGGGCTCCTCAAACGTGGTCCTAAGGCTCTCAGCAAGCAGATGGGGAAGCAGCAGCCCCACAGCCTTTCCCTCAGGGGTCAAGTTTCTAGGGAAAGGAAAGGGTGTGGCAACCTCTGAGGTCTCAAGTAGCTGTACCCCAGACGAGCTGTGACTTCCCCAGGCAGAAATGCTCTTCCTCCTCTGCACCCCCACCCACGGTGAGTGGGGGCAGGGCCCCAGTCCCCTCCCCCATCAACCTAGCACCTGAAGACTATACCGACCTCAGCTGCCATCTCCAACTCAGCTCTGAAATGGTGGAAGGGACCTGCCTGAGGGTGTAGGGCCCAGGTGCTGGGGACCAAGTTTGGGGCAGAGAGGGTCCCAGTCCATTCTGTCTGGGTTGCAGGCCCTGGACCTGACTCCCTGCACCCTTCTCAGGTTGGCTGGGGCCACCAGTGCTCCCAAGGCACCTGCTCTCTCCTGGGGTGGGGGGCAGGGTCTGTCTAGGGTCCTTGTCCCTCACTGTGGCATTTGGGAGGGGGCTCCTTCCCCCAGCCCCTCCAAGCGTTGCCCCCCAGTCTGGGACAAGAGAGGCTGGACAAGCATCAAGTCTGGCCTCTGGGGACACAGGCTCCCTCGGGAGCGGCTGCTGCTTTGCTCCACAGAAGGAAAAAGAACGTCCCCGAGCCCGCCCAGTCCAAAAAAAGAATAAGAAAATGTGACAATCCCTGAAAAAAAATGCCATAACCTTTGGGAGGGGGTTGACAGAGGGGCTCTAGTCCCTCCTGACCCTACTCAGTACCTTTCCTATCTGCAGCCCTCCAACCCCCAATTTGGCTGGTGGGGGAGCCCCAGTGTGGCTCTGCAAGGCCGGTCCGTTTTCCTAACCCTGGTGACCCTCGTCCCCAGCCCACCTTTGCAGTGGTGGGGGCGACTCATTTCTCTCTTCCTCGCTGCTGGTAGGGTCTGGCCTGGAGGAACCTGTCTCCTGCAGGCGCCCCTTCCAGTCTCTGACGCCCCCACCCCTACCTCAAGGAACTCGCCATGGCGTCCCCACTCACCAGCGACCCAAAGGCGAGGTGGGGGCGGGAGGGGCCACGTTCGGTCTGGACCCCACCCTGACTGCCGAAGGGGCGTGCACTGCAGCAGCCGGGACTCGAGTCAGACGGCAGGGGACTCTCCGGCGTTCTGGAGGGAGGCCGGCGCCGGGGGCCCCAATCGGCTGGGGCCGGGGGCGCAGCGCCTCCCCTGCGACTAGCAGGGCTCAGAGGCTGCCAGATCCAACGGGGCGGGGGCGGACAGGGTGTCCCGCCTCGGTCCCTCCCCACCAGCCTGAGGGGGGCGGGAGACGCGGAAACCTGGGTTCTTCCGGCCCCCCCTTTGAGCAATCACTTCCCCAGGCTTTGAGCTGCAGAAAAGGGGAACCCGGTTGCAGCGCCCCCTCCCCCCGCGCGCGAGGAGGAGGGACGGGCTCCCGTCCCGCCGCGGCCCAGGGTCCACGTGGACCCCGCGTTGGGAGTCCTTGGGGGTGCGGATCCCGGAGCCGGCTCCCTAAGGTTCCCGCCCCACACGGCCCCCGGGCCCGGGGCCCGCAGGGGCAGGGCCACCGTCCTCGGCGCCGCGCGCGCGCACTCACCGGCCGCGCTCTCGAGCCGCTCGCGCCGCCGCCGCCGGGCCCGCGCGCTCCGAAGTCCGGCCGGATCGTCGGGGAGGGGGCGCAGGGTGCAATGCGCAGGCGCCTCGGCCGCACTTCCCCAAAGCGCGGGGCCGGGACTTCCTCGCGCGGGGAGGTGCCCGGCCCGCCCCGCCCGGCGCGCCCCGCCCCGCGTTTGGCTGTCTCTGCGCCCCAGTCGCCCCCTCCCCAACTCCCTGTAGAGTCGGGCCCGGGGCCTTGGTCCCCATCGTCGCTTAGGGTGGCCCGTGGAGATGAGGTGCTAAGAATCAGGGCGGCCTGAGCTGACGCTGTAGTAGGTGGGGGTGTGGCCGTGCCCCCGACTCGGCCGGGCCATTCCAGCTGTGCCATTCATGTGGGTCGGCCATGAGCTTCCTGCCAGATGTGGGGCGCGAGAGGCCTAGAGACGCTGGTGTCCCCATATGCTCCTTGCCCCGCTTGAATAAGTAGAGGCCGCTGGAGAGGACTGTGTCGTGGTTACTCCAGGCCCCACCCCGCCCTTTCCCAGACTGGGTGCCTTCGCCTGTAAAATGGGGCTAAGAGCGAGTTATCACAGCATTGTCACCGTGCTGTAGGGGACTTACCAAGGAGGGGGCAGGGGTCCTGTGCTGAGGTGACCCTGGACGCTGGGGGTGTGGGTTTTTGCACCTGGAGTCACCACATGTCCCTATCTGTGGGTGCTGGCAGGCTCCCTTCTGACCCCTCCAGTTGCTCCAAGGTGTCATGCAGTTTAAAGCCACACCATCCCCTTCCCTCGAATGTCCTGTCCCTTTTCTTTGGCTGACTCTCCTATTTTATGACCTGGTACAGCTGTTAGTTCAATTTCTTATCCCAGCATGCTTTCGGCCAGTGTCATAGTGGCCTTGACCCTGCTCTGGAAATGATCCCCTGGTCTCAGACCATATGCAGCTCCTGTCCCCAGCGCAGGCACTCAGCCTGGTGAGCTCCTGGAGCCTGTCCAGCTCACAAAGTGCCTCCCAACCGCACAAGTTGTCGAGATGTGAAGGGAAGTGGAGATTTTCCATGCTCTCTTCATCATTCAGCAAGTATCTGGGTGTCCCCTGTGTGGGACCTAGAAGTGAGCCAGCCAGACCAGCCCTAGAGCAGACAAGACCCAGGCTGCAGACTGGGTGAAAGGTGAAGAGGACCAGGGAGGGCAGAGGAGGCCACGCACGCAGCAGTGGCTCAGGCCATGCTGAGGGAGGGGCAAGGTCAGAGAGGCTAGAGGGCCCTGGAGGCTGGGGTGCTTCTTGATGCTGTGTGCCCAGGGGCCCTGGCTGCTATGTTGACAGGCTGCCCAGGACAGGGCCCAGTCTAGAAGCCTGTCCAGACAGGAGACGACCGCTTCTCATGTAGCCCAGATGACAGTCCTGAGAGGTGGGTCCTACCTCTCAGAGATGGGCCAGCACCTGGCCAAGGTCACACAGCTAGGGCCATCTTGCAGTACTTGTATAGTGTCTTCACCCACCTCCTAAGATGTGTAGGACAGCTGGCCATGGGTGGGGTCAGCACACTTCTCTCCCTCCTCAGGCCACTCCATCCTCTGGGTCTCTGGGGAGTCTGTCTCTGCAGTGTCCTCACAGTCCAAGGAGGAGCTCAGGTGGGCTGGGCAGGAACTCCTCAAGGCCATAGAGCAGGTGATGGTGGAGATGGGATTGACCCCAGGACCCTCTGTCCAGAGCATGAGCCTCAGCCCAGGATCCCACCTGATCCCTCACAGCCCCCAGGATGTGGTACAGGCTTTGCTCTCGCAGAGCAGAAGCTGTCTCCAGCTCCCACCACTTTCCTCTGCCACTTCCTGTGGCCTGTCTGCAAACCTAGGCCCCTCTCTGGCAGGATCAAAGGGAGCCCCATGTGCACAGCTGGCTGCGATGCCACCCTCTTGCTGGCCTTCTCCTCAGGGCTTTGTGCATCTGCCTTGTCCCCCTGTCCTCAGGGGCCTGCCTAATGCAGTGACCCTGCCTTAGGGAGCGATCACTGTGGAGCACACGGCACCAGGTGAGACCCTTGAGACTGTGTTTTAGGGATGAAGAAATGGAAGCTTAGAGAAGTGGTGAAATAAAATGTGCTGCTGCTAAAAAGATGAAATCATTCTAGGCACTCAGTACGTCCCCAAGAGACGGGGCGCTGGGTCCAGATGGCAGGGAGCTGGGCCAGGGGCCAGGGCTGGCTGTCCTCCCATGCCTGTCTGGGTGCCAGTGGCCACCACTCCTGGACAGAGGCTGCTTCCCCTTTCCTGTCTCTGTCCCTGGTCCAAGCTACCTTCTCTCCTGACCCTCCTCCCCCATCCCTCCCACTCCACACACACAGTTCTGGGTGTCCATCAAGGCCAAAGGCAGCAACGGGGAGAAGGACTTGCTGAGGGCACTGAGGGTCCGGGTCCCCATCCTCAGCCGGATTAGGGAGGGGCAGTGACTGCCACTGAGCAGGATTCCTGGCCAGACCCCAGCTCTGACCTCTGCACCCCTCCAGGGTTGGCTCTGCTGCTGTCCATGCAGCAGGAGCCCCCTGGCAGGGGTGGGGCTGGTCTGGGTCCCTGAGCCCCCACTGGAGAGGTGGCTGAGAAAAGTCCCGGGCTCTGCGAATGGCCTGTGTGGGAGAAGAGTGTTCTTGAAGGTCTGTCCAGAAACATGGAGGCTCTTCAGAATCCAGAGGGTTTGCAGGACATAGGCTTGTCAGAATGGGACGGGGCGGCTTCCTTCCAGTCCTGGGTGTGTGTGTGGTGAGGTGGTAAGAGAGGCAGAGGGGGCAGAAGAGGCCCTTCAGGATGGAAAGGAAAACCAGAGGGCGATTTTCTGTCTGAGGCAGCAGGGCCCCCCTGAGGGGGGCTCTCCACTCCTCCAGTCTCTCAGGCCCTGGAGGACCTCCCCGCATAGCTGACTCTCCAAAGCCCAGCTTTGTGTGCAGCTACTTCCTTTGCCCAGAATGTCACCCTCCTCTCTGACCTTCTGAGAGGATGACCTGCAATCTGGGGGTCCCACTTCAGCCCCACTCTCTCCCTGAGGCTGCCCTTACTTCTGGGGGTGTGACATGCTGGCCCCTCTCCTGGACCCCATGGACTCACAGGGCAGGAGGCTGCCTGATGGGGGCAGCCCCGGATTTCTGGGTTGACGGGTATCCTTGTTCCCTGTTAATGACACCCGCCCAACTTGCAACTTCCTACTTTGTAGGAGGAGCCCCACTCTGTGTACCCCAATGTCTGTGACATCCTATGTGGGAGAGGCAGCATCCAAACCCCCCTTCCTCTCGGGGGACCTGGAGGCGGGGTGTAAAGGCCAACAGGTTCTTGGAGACTGAGAACTTTATATGGGCAGGTGGGGTCGCCGTCAACGCGGGAAGATGCAGCCATCGGCTTTCTCCTCCAGGATGGTCTCCAAGCGCCTCCGCTGCGGGGGAGAGGGGCTGGGGCCAGGTGTGTAGGGAGGCGGGCGGGGCCCTCTCTCCTCCCTGTCCCGGGCTTGCAGGCACCTCTTGACGGTCCAGGGGGTCTGGGATCCGCGTGGGCTTCAGCTGCGGCGGCAGAAACAGCTCCAGCCGGATGGCGGCGCGCGCGGACTTCTGCCGCTGGACGAGGAGCGAGATCTCCTCCGCCTGCGGGCCCGGGGGTGGGGCGTGGGATGCCTCTGAGCCAACGCGATCTATTGCCCCTCCCGCCCCGAGCTCCCGCCGGTCCTCCAGTCCCCTTTCCTCGGGGGCCCCGGCCGCCCTCCCCTCCCGGCCTGCGCCCCAATTCTCGCCTGCCCGCCCTTCCCTCTGGCCCCCTGGGCTCACTCGCAACTGGTTGTAGCGCAGTCGCAAGGCGCGGATTCGTCCGCGGGCCTCTGCGGCCTTGAGGACGCCGAGGAGCCGGTCCTGGCGCTCCGCGGACTGCTCGAGTGACTGCGTCCAAGCGCGCAGGTCGGGCATACGGTATCCCAGCTCCACTGACTCGCGCGGGAAGATGGAAGCGGTCGCGCCCACGTCCTCAAGCAGGTCGCCGAAGAGCAGGTGGCGGTGGCGCTGCGCGGGACGCATGGCCTCCAGTTTCTCCAGTGTTAGGATCCAGCCCGGCGTGGGGGCCTTGGCGCGCTCCTCACGGGACTCTGCGCCCTGCGTGCCCTTGCCGGCTTGCTCCCGCGAGTCCTTGCGCCCGGCATCCTGTGCCGCGGGCGGTTGCATCCTCTGCCCTTGCCTAGGGAAGAGGCGTCCCTTTGTTGGTGCCCGAAGGGTGTCCGTCGGGAACCTGCCCGGCCCTCTGGCCTGGCTTGGCCCCTCCAGACTCCCCGCAGCCCGCCGTAGGTCCTGCACCTCCAGCCTCTGCACCTTCGCTCACGCCTGGTACACGACCCCATCAGCTCAGTCTCCCTACCCAGTGCTGCAGTCTGCGAGAACTTTCTGATCCTCTCGGAGTTTCAAGACATCCCCGTCCTGCCCACAGGCTGTTTCTCTGTCCACTGAGAAAATGCCGAGACCCCCGAGTTGACCTCAGGCCCTACCCAGGGGTGGAGACCAGGTGACACTGCTCTAAGTGAGGTTCCGTGGCCCCTGCTTCACGGTGCTGGACCCTCGCTGCTCTCCAGTTCCCTATGTTTGCCGTCACCGGTCAGTCAGCAAGCCCCCACCCCATGGAACCCCAGGGGAGGCTCAGAGCCGAATGGACAGCGGCTTGATGTGCTTGCTTTGCTCATCCTCCTAGCCTGTCCGGGGCTGGCTCGATGGAGGAAGGGAGAGCAGAGCCCAGGGAGGTGATGGGGGCAGGGAAACATCGCCAGGGCCGTATCAGCCCTACAGGGCTCCTTCCTTTCCGGGTTCCAGCCCACAGCTGCCCCGGGACCCCGAGCCACGTCCTCCCCCGACCCCATCTCCACACCCCATACTTTTTGCTTTCTCGGCTCAGAGCCTCCAACAAAGCACCTACTCTCTGGGGCTTGTTGACGCGGTTACCTGGCAACGGGGAGTCCCGCCCCTCCTCCAACGAGATGGGGTCGAAGCGGCCCCTCAGGAGGAGCGTGTACAGGTGAGTGGAGGGCGTCCCCATCACCGGGGGGAGATGCCCGCAGCTGCCCCAGCTGATCTAACACCGTGGAGGTGGTGACCGCTAGCTTTTCCGGCCCCATGAGCTTTCTTTCCTTTCTGGGGCGTCCCAAACACAGTCTTCTGGGCCTCTGCCCTGGCTTCCTGGCTGGAGAGGTCTTTGGCGGGTAGTTTTGAGCAGGTAGTTCAGCTATAAGAGCTCCGAGGCTGAGGCCCTTTCCGTCTGCATGGCCCTCCACAGCCGCTGGCGTTCACAGAGAGCGGAGCCTGGGGCAAAACTCCGCACCTCTCGCCTCTTCCAGGGTGAGTTTGGGGTCCCAGGGTTCCCACAAGACCAGACCCCTGTGTTGCTGAACCCTAAGTCTGGGGGTTCTGGATTTCTGTGATCTATTTGTGTATTTGTTAATTTCACAATATTCTACAACTAATTCACTTCTCAATTTATTAATTCTGTAATTTATCCGTGCATTCATCAGTTTGTTGTGGAACTCATTAATTCATATGCTTCCTCCACAGTTTATGTTAGAACAAAATTAGTGTATTAAGCCCATAATTTGTTAATGCACGGGCTTCCACAGTGTGCAGGTAGCTCTCCTCTTCACTCCTGGATGTGTCCTGGGGCCAGTGTGGGCTCTGGGATCTGTGGACAGTGCATTTTGGGAGTTCAGGACCTGAGCCCCTGAGTGGGGGATGGTTCTGACTTTGGGGTAAAGTCTCAGCTGAGGTCCTGGCCTCTGTGTAGGAGCCTATTGACTGTTCCCATCGGTTTTTGGAAGCTTGCTCTGACCTCCTGGGAGAGGGTAGACTCTGACTGTGCCCCTGTACCCCTGAGCCTGCACCTCTCAAGCTCCCACCTTCAAGCCCCCAGGCCTTTGCATAGCTGTTCCTTGGACGCTGGCCCCTCCTGTGCATGTCTTTGAAGTATGGCCTCGGCCTTGGGACTCAGCACCAACCTGGTGGCTTGTTGAAGATGAAGGTCTCTGGTTCCGGAAGAAGCAGTGAAGGCTTAGGAAGGCTGACCTAGCAGGCCACCTCCTCCAGGCAGGCCTCCTGGATATACACAGCCCAAGCTGGAGTTGCCTCTGGCCCCCACTCCTTGCTCCCACATGGGCGAGTCCTCTGAAACAGGGATCTGGATCCTCCTCTCAGCTCCCTAGGGTCCAGGATGGGAGGGGGGGTCACACAGAAAGGGAGTGGCTTGCTGGCTCCTGGGGCTGAAGTGGGATTACAGGTGGAATGAGGGCACGCTGTCCTCCAAGGAAGGACTTGTGACTTTTTGTAGGATTGAAATCTTTGACACCACCATCCTTCTAATTCTGGGAGGGCCTGGTGCCCACACAGCTCTCATTCCGGAAGGCAGCTTTTTCCTGCTTTTCTACACACCGGTGGTTCTGCTGGGAGGGAAGGTGCTCCGTGTGTCTGGCTGGGGCCCAGTGACCGAGAGACCAGCTGTCTTTTCTTTGTTTCTGTGTCCAGGGTTTGTGGGGTTTTCAAGGGCTGACATCTAAAAGCATGCTGCTTGGCACCAAAGCTTGACGATAAAATTTCACAATGAAATTACTAAGCTTTATTAAATGACTACCACATTTGTGGGCCGGCCGAGTGGCGTGTTGGTTAAGAGCTGGCTTGGGATGCCAGAGGACCCCGGTTCAGATCCCACATATGAGGACCAGTGACACTGCCCTCTACAGCTAAGATGCTGAACAACAGCTCAACCTGGAGCTGGGCTGCTATGAGTCGCCTACGACTGCCTAGGTTGCAGCCCCTGCTGCAGTGGGTTGCCGTGGGCTACCGTGTGTAGCCAGCAGCCAGCGTGAGCGGCCGTCCAGAAGCCGGCGACTGACCTGCCTCGCCTGGGAAGAGCGCAATGATGGTGCCAACTTGGGCCAGTGAAGCAACGTCCTCCACAACTAGACTGAAGAACAAAAGGACAGCAACTTGTCTGTTCCCCTTCCCCCAATTCCCCAGTACTGTTCCCATGCACCAATTCCCCAATAAAAATCTTTAAAAAAAAAAGTACAGGTGTTTATTGAAAAAAATTTAAAAATAAATTAATAAATAAATGACTACCACATTTAACATATTGAAACTCTGCAACTCAGTTCTCCTGTTGCTGTATACTGGGGGTGCCAAAAAAATGTAGACAAGCAGACATTTTGTTCAATGTTGCTCAAGCAGTAGTTCACTGTAATCAGAAGTGTCTGGACGCTGGTGGTAACCACTCTGAGCACCTCTTGTCATTGCAGAAGTCAAATGTGACTTGTACTCATATTCATCTTTTGTTAAAGGTATATATTATTACAATTTTAATACAGTTTTCCTTTTGTAAAATGTGTATACATTTTTTGGCACACTCTGTATAAGTATTATGAAGTTAAAATCACGAGGACAAAGTAATTTATTACGATGAAACTCAGAATTATTGCAATCTTCACTTTTTTAACCTCACAAATTGTTGAGTGCATCCTGGCGGCTGAGTCCCCAGGTGGGCTATTCTATGTGGGGCTGCCATTGACTCTGCTCTGATTACTTTGCCCAGCCCCGGGTGGCACAGGTGTGGAGCTGGAGGGGCGCAGACAGCGTGCACGGCCAGGCGCCCAGGGCTGGCACTGAGGCTGCCACCTGGAGTTTACAGGCTCTGAGTCAGCAGGTGCGAGAGTGAGGTGTGTCCCTCCTCTTTGTAGGAGTGAGTGCCACTCCAGGACCTGCGCTCCAAATGCCGTGACCTCCACATGCAGCCCGGCTCGGGCTATAACTGTAACCTGTGGACATGCTCTGTGCTGTCATTCATGCAAGCGGCATGTCTTGGGTGTCCCTGGTGTCCTCGCATGTTTTGTTTTGCTTGGATGCGACCTGTGCGTTTGAGTTGCCCTGCTTTGACACAAATGCTTTCTTATATAACAAGTGTCCCATGCTGTTCCAGGTGTGACACATATGTCCGGTCTTGCCCTTGCTCCCCAGGGCTCAGGAGAGACCTGGGCCATTTCCTCTATGCTATGGCCCCCTTTGTGGGAGCCCTGCAGCCACCCCCAGGGAGTGCAGTCAGCTTCCTGGCCTGGCCACCCACCAGCCAGGTGACCAAGCCTGTTTTTCGGCTGAGACTGTATCTGTGAGGAGCCAGGTGTCCACCTGTAGCTGTCCTCTGTGCTGGCTCTGTCCAGAACTCACGTCCAGCCTCGAAGCAGCCTCATGACCCTTTGCTTTCCCCAGCCTGGGGCCTGGGACGGGAGGCAGCTGATGGCCATTAGGCTGGTGAGCAGCCAGGCGGCCCAGGGAGCTAGGGCGGGGACTCTGGGGCTGGCTGCTCAGAACTGGGCGTACCCAGTCAGGGGCGACTGCAAGCTGAGGCTCTTGGGTTCCTGGGGTCAGCCAGGTAATGTTGCAGGCTTCGCCTGGAGAGGCTGGTGCACGTGTGCGCATGGGTGTCTGGGGGCCTTGATCTGTGTGTCTGCCTGTTCCCCTGTGTCTACCTGCATGCCTTGCACGTACCTTGGTGTGTGTTTGCACATGTGTGCACACTCCTGTGAGTGCCATTGCATTTCTGAGCGTGTACCCGTGTCTGTGTATGTTCCCCTGGGCCTGTTTGGGCATCTCTGTGTGTGTCTGCAAGCATGTGACTCTGTGCATCCCTGTTGTCCTGAGTGTCTCTGTGGACACATGTCCACACATGTCCCTGAGCTGGCTGCAGCGAAGATGCAGAGAAGTCCTAGGGGACAGCTTGGGATGCTGAGTCCTAGGGCATCTGCCTGCTCTGTCCTCTCCTGATTTGCCAGGTATCCTAGCGACACTGCTGCCAGTCACTTAGCAACCAGGTCCGTCCTTGGAGATGGATTCTCAGAGCAGAATCTGGGCTGCAGGCAGAGCCCATGCAGAAAGAATGACCCCGTGACTGGGTGGGGCTGACTGAGCTCGGGGGTCACCCACATGGCAGAGACCCCAGTGCTGGGCAGGAGGCCTCTCTATGGGAGGGCTCAGGCTGTGAGAGAATGGTGCTCAGACGTTACTCTGAGACCCAACTGTGGAAAAGACACCCTTGGTGTAGCTCAAAGTGACAGATAGACCTGGGTTTGAATCCTGTCTCTGCCACTTTGACAAGTGGCTCAATGCTCTTGTCTGCACAAAGGTGATGCTGACAGCAACGACCAGGTGTGGTGGGGATGGAGGCGCTTGTGTTTGTGATTGGCATGGAGCATAGTAGGCACACAGGGTGCACAGTAGGGTTTAGGTATCCTGTTTGTTTATTTATTTGTTTATTTATTTTTAAAAGATTTTATTGGGGAATTGGGGAAGGGGAACAAAGCTGGGGAATCAGGGAAGGGGAACAGACAAGTTGCTGTTCTTTTTTTGAGTCTAGTCGTGGAGGACGTTGCTTCACTGGCCCATGTTGGTGCCATCGTTGTGCTCTTCCTGGGTGAGGCAGTCGCTTGCCAGCCATTGGACGGCCAGCCATTGGCTCACAGCGGCTCATGAAAGTGCACGCCAGCTGCCGGCCAGCCCCACTGTAGCCTACGCCATCACTGGCAACTCACGGCAGCCCAGCTCCAGGTCGAGCTGTTGTTCACCATCTTAGCTGTAGAGGGCGCAGCGTCACTGGCCCACATGTGGGCTCTGAACCAGGGCCCTGCTGCTCAGCTGGCATCCCAAGCCAGCTCCTAACCAACACGCCACTCTGCCGGCCCTAGGTATCCTGTTTATTGACAACAAGGCTCTGACCCACTCCAGGCTGGCCAGGCAGGGACTCCGCTATGTGTTCACCTACCTGCCCCCGGGGAGCCTGGCTGAGGGGCACTATTCTGGGCATGGAATGCCAACCAGGTCTGAGCCTGTCCAAGGCCATGTGTCTGTGTGTGACATGCGACCCCGTGCCTGTGTCCTGGTCTGTGTGTCTTGCACGCTTCTCCTGCGTCTCTGTCCCATGTCTTTGTACAAGTCTCTGTCCTTGTGTGTGTGTCTGTCTCTGTGTGCCTGCCCCTTGTCCCCATGTGTCCTTGTGTGTGTGTCTGTCCACATGTCTGGGTTCCTGTGTGCATCTGTGTCGGAGCCTGTCTCTGGGCTCTCTGGGTCTGAACCTCTCTCTGCCATTTATCTCTAAACATGTGCCTTGGTCCTTGTGTCTGTCCCCACCCAGTGTGGGTCCCGATGACCCCCTTCCTTGCGGCCCCTCCTCAGGCCTGCGCGGCCCCGCCCCCTCTGGCGCTGCAGCCTCCTCTCCCTCCCCCTCTCTGTGCGCTAGGCTGCCGCGTCTGGTCTGGCGTGTACTGAGGAGCAGCCGCGGTGCAGCCCCATCCAGACCCACTGCCGAGTGCGGGCGCGCAAGGCTCCCGACCCTGGCCAAGGGGCAGGGTCTCTGCTGTACCAGATCCCAGCGAGGCTGCCTGCCCAGGTAAGACTTGAGACGCTGTGTGTGGGCTGCAGGCTGTGGGGTGACCTGCAGCCGGCCCGCAGCTCTCAGGCAGGGGCCGAGGAGGCTGCCAGCTAGGCCGCCCTGGGCTGTGTCCCAGGTGTTTCCCGGCACGTCTCGGTCCCTTTCGTGCCTGCGCGTGCATGAAGGCAGGTTTGGGCATGTGTGTGCATGTGTGTGCGTGTGTGTGCGTCTGTGTGTCCCTGCGTCTGTGAGCACACAGCAGCTGCCTGTCATGAGTCCCTGTGGGTGGACATGTGTCCTGGTGTGTGACTACCGCCACATATCCCATGTTGGAATCTGTAAGCCATATGAGACCATGTTACTGAGCGTGCACGTGTGCTCTGTGTGTGTCCCTGTCTGTGCTTCATGTCTGCGTGTCTCCATGTGTCCCTGTACGTGTGTCCCTGAGTCCCTGTGTAGGCTGATGTGTCTCTGTGCTTTGTGTGTCCCTGTGCGTGTGTGTGTGGCTCTCTGACAGTGGCTGCCCGTGGGGGTGCCACGTGCCTGCTGGGCCATACACTCTGTGCTGCAGGCCTCGG